TAGGATAAATAAACATAGGACAACCCTAGTGTGACATATACTAGACATACCAAAAGAAAAATGAATAAAACAAACTAAAAACTACCCCTAGTCCTCGTTGGAGGAGAGTTCGATGACCCCCTTATCAGAGCCGCCAGCATCGTGATCGTTGGCGGCTGGACGAACATAGAGCATCTCCTCATCGTTCGTGTCCTCCCCGAAGAATTTCTCTTGCGCGGCGTCATGGAGGCGCATCTTGTGGAGGTTCGATGTAATCCTGTGCTCATCCTCAAAGGACTAGCGCGTCCGCGGTGATGACGGCTGGGTCGGTGACAAGCTCAGCCACGATGGCTGCGGCGGTGTGCTTGGCCTCCATCTGCGCCTTACCAGGTGCTCGGGCTCATCGACGAGTGTGGGGTGGTATTGCGTCTTCGCCACCTCCTTCGAGAGGAGGTGGATGCTGTCACCCCCCGCCCTCGTCATGCCAGGTGGCTCCTTCCGGGCCACCGCACCATGAATGCGAGAATGCAAACCTGGAGGATCAGATGGTCCACAATTGTTGGTTTTATTCATGTTATCCTCTGTAAAGTAAGTGCAAGCCCTGATCCCAGTTGCACTTGGGATTATCGAGCAGCTAGATGGATCGGATGGATCACCCTCATGCATGTTACACCCTTGATGCCTTTTGGTGAGAAAAAAAACATGAGTTGGTCCAGCATTGCTGGTTGGGGTTTTGTGTGAGGGCATATATGCATGGAGATGGAGCCTTGCAAAGCAGCTGCTAGCTTGGCCCTGCCGATGCCTCACACCTAACATGCATGCATTCCTCTTCACTTCTCCATGAAAACCAAAATAATGCATGGTTGGTTGGTCAGAAAAATAACTAACCCACCCAGGTCTCATGTGCCTCTCACTAGCTTCAGTTTCATGCGATCCTACGCTCACTGTCAGCACTAGTACATGTCTTGCTTTCCTCTCCTGTTTGACATCCATTTAACTACTCCCTCCGTTCCGATTTACTCGTCGTGGTTTTAGTTCAAATTTGAACTAAAACCACGACGAGTAAATCGGAACATAGGGAGTAGCTAGCTAAAGCTGATGCTAGTACTTGTACTTGTACCAAGTGAATAGGTAGCTAAAGTTTGAAGCTCGGTCATCACATCATCATGCATGCCAGGATCGACTTGCATGCATTCTCGGCGTCGCACGAATCTCGATGCACATTTCTCTTCTATCAGTTTCAGTTTTTGCAAATACAGCTCTGCACATATAGTGTGTAATATGTCCATGCCAGTGTGCGTGGAGTGCATCCACCAAACCGCCTCCATCTGCCCCTGCTAGCATCTCAATCCAAGTTCTTGGCAAGAAACCAAAATTTCTGTTCCCCGCAAAAAATTATCTTAAAATTATAATAGTGATGCCGTACGACACGTAGAAGAGCGCGACGTTAACGTTAATTAATTAAGAGAAAGGGACAAGGAAACAGGGATGAACTGGGACCTAGGGCAGCTAAGCCACTGGACTAGATGGAGGCAGGTGAGCAACTGGGATTAGCTTATATGTTTGTTTAGTGGTCTATATCTACTTAGCAACTCTCTGGCCCTCCCATGATGCATCCTCTGCTGCTGGGGAATTGAATTAGCTCAACTCATCCTCTCATGGGACTGAGCAACATGCCAACATGAGATGAAAATTGCGTAATTACCAGACATACATAGCTAACCCATAGCTAATGTTCGAAAATAGTGACCCAATAATTGGCTAAATGGAGGGTCTGAACTTGATTTTTTCCACTACAATTTGATGAATAAATTGGGGGCCTGAACTTGATTTTCCCACTCTATAATTTGATAAATAAATTGGGGGCCTGCACTAGATGTTTCCACTCTATAATTTGATGAATAAATTGGGGGCCTGCACTTGATATTTTCACAGCAAGCTGCACGCATGCATGGTCCCTCTCGTTGAGGGGGGTCGATCACAGTTAATGCAAACCCCACACACGCTGCCATTGGCCTCAGGTTGCATTTGGTAATGCCCTCCTCTCCATTTTCATCAGATCCAAGCCTTTTCATGCATGCATGTACCTACTTTTCACATCCATCCTATAGACATAACTAGTCAGGGATCCCAAAAAGTGGAAATAGTTAGGACTGAATTTTAGAGCAAGATCCCTTTCTCCCCATAAAGTCATTTAATTCCTTACATATATGTGTCTCTATGTTTATAAAATAAAACCGACATGTACGTTAGGTTTCGTGCGTTCTTAGAACGGTGCGATGGGATGTAACTTACGGCCACATCAACCACCCATGTTCTAACAGCTAATATTTGTCTACTCAAAATGACATTTGTGGCGGTTTTGTATGAGTCCGGCATGTTTACGCTTGGGTGCCACATCAACTACCCATGATGTAACAATTTATATTTGTCTACTCGTATGACGTGTGTGATGATTTTGTCAATATTCATGCACTGCGACTTCAATGTTTACTAGATTTTGTATGAGTGTAGTTGTGCGGTTTTGTATGAGTCCGGCGTGCTTACGCTTGTGTGTCACATCACCTAGTCGTGATGTAATAGTTAATGTTTCTCTACTCAAACCAAATTCGTGCTTACATGGTATTATTCAAGCACTTCTACATTTTAAAAGCCAATTTCAATCACTGGCTCCATGCATGTATCTTTTTCTCCTTGGGTAGGTCAAACAAATGCCTTTCTTAATTTATCTCTCGTCTTCTTGATCCAATTAAGGCAACAAATTCCCTCTAAATTTCTCAAAGACATTCAGACATAACCTGTTGAAATTTATTACATGTCCTTACTTCCAACACGATTTTCACTTGCATAATATCCAAATATCTTGCTAAGAATCAACAAAAGCTTCTATGCCTCGGTTTGATTGGAAATTAAATAATTTCCAACAATTTCATAGATATTCTTTTTGCAAAAATTGATTTTATAGATTTGTTCATAGAAATCTAAGAAAATATCCACTATGATAAAAATCGTTCATGTAATGAATAAATATATAATCCTAGACACCTAAAAGTCAACTAAATCTTAGTCAATTTTACATATATGTTCATGCAAAACTAAAAAGAAATCATTGTGATGTAATAATTTGTTGATATACTACAATGAATTGTATTGTTTGTTCAGTTATTCCCTGAGTATAGAAAGATATGAAATCTTGCACGGATTTCAAATGTCAGACTTGGTGTCAAACATGCTTTTGTACTAATTCCTACCCGGTTCGATATTAGCGAATCCATTTAATGCTTTCCTCTCCATTTTCGAATCCAATGTTTTCATGCATGTGCCTACTTTTCATGTATTTTTCATTTTGACCTGAAAAAAATAGTTAGAGCACCTAAAAGGGGGAAATAGTAAGTTTGAATTCTAGAGGTAGATTACTGTGCTCGTAGAGTCATTTAATTTCATAACAATACGAGATGGTTGTGGTGCATGAATATTCACGCTCCGTGTCTTGAGCCTTTACTAGGTTTTGTATGAGTTTGGATGTGTATGGATCTGCTTACAGCAACATCAACCGCCCGTGATGTAATGATTAATATTTATCTACTCAAATAATGTTTGTGGTGGTTTCGTCGCTATTCACGATCCACGACTTTAGTCTCTCTACCAGGTTTTGTATGAGTCTGCCGTGCTTACACACAGTCGCCACATCAACTACCCATGATGTAGCAAATAATATTTGTCTGAACAAGTCAAGCTCATGCTTGTATGGTTTTACTCAAACACCTCTACATTTCCTAAATGGATTCCAGTCATTGGTTCAATGCTTGTATCTTTTCCCCCTTGGAGGATTCACAGGTAAAATCTCACTTAATTTATCTCCCACCTTCTCGATCCGATTAAGGAAAAAATGCCTTTGAAATTTCTCAAGAACATCCCAGCATCACCATTTTGAAATGTATCATGTGGGTCCTTGTGTTCCTACATGATTTTCACTTGGCATAACATCAAATTGTTTTGCTAAGGATCAACAAACGCTTTTATATAATAGATGCTTTTATGTGTCACTCGACTGAGAATTAGCTAATTCACAACCAGAAAATGTGTATCATGTTATAAAACATCGTTCAACTAATGCAATTATTTTTCTCTATGTTGAATTCTCGGTCGATTGAAGTAATATGTTCATACATATAAAAATAGATATTCATATGACTTTTTTTGTTCATATAGTGCAATAATTGTACCTCCCCCTCTGTCCCAAAATATGGCGCATATTAGATTTAAAAAAAAAGAAATCAAATTTTGCTCAATATGACCAATTTATACCAATAATTTTTTTGCTAATATATATTTCTCGTATGTTATCGAATTTTTTGCTAATATGTTATCGATTTTTCATATTGTTTTCTCTATAAACTTGGTTAAAGTTTGTAAATTTGACTTATGCGAAAACCTATGCGGCGCCATATCGTGTGATGGAAGAAGTAGTGCTTGTTGTTTGTTCGGAGGGTGGGAACTCTTACATGGATCTCAATCGATGCCAATACGCCATACCGATCAGTGGCGTAGCTAGGTGGTGGGGAATTTCCCCATAGCTTGTATATAGTGTAGTACTAAAAATTATTTCTTTGAAAAGAAGTAAATTTATGTAAATATTTTTATTAATGTACCACCCTGACTTACTGGGCTCGCTACGCCACTGATACCGATGATGCTAGCTTGATTTCGACATCGATTTTACCAATTCTTCTTCCGACGACGACCGAGAATTTTAGCATATCCATTTATTTATTGAAAATGGGGTTTGAACCCCATTTCCACAAATTTGTTGCTATTCCAGTCAAGTCATTTCCTGGGGTTTTTAGGTGGGCCCACACCCAGAGAGAGAGGGAGGGGGGGAGGTAGCTGGAGTAGAGCCTTCATATACACACCAGGTCTCAGGTCAGCCCTCCCTCGCCTTCTTTAAATCGGAGACGCGACGCCATACGGACACAGAGCACGCACACGGATACTAGCAGCAGCTCAGCTCCATCTCATTAATGGCGCTCTCCACGCTCCTACTGCCCTCCTCCTCCTCCACCGCCGCCGACACCTCCGACCGCCGCCGCGGCCAGCAGCCGCAGAACCACCACAGCAAGCGCAAGAAGAAGCCGCCGGCGCTGCCGCCCCCGCTCTCCCCCGCGCCGAGGACTCCCGGCCGACGCCATCTTGCCGCCACCGGGACGCCTTCCAGGAAGAGCCCCGCCCTCGCCGCGCCCACCGCCGGCGCCAAGGCCAGGCTCGTCGCGTCCAAGGACCACCGTCAACGCCGCAGTGGCTCGAAGAAGGCGACTGCGCAGAAGCCCGCGCGGCCGGCGTCGTCGTGGGAGCAGCTGAAGAGCCTGCTGAGCTGCCGGAGCGCGACGGCGGCCGCGCGCGTGCACGACCCGGCCGCCCTCGCGCGGGGGCCCGGCGCGGGAGGGTACTGGGGGACATCGCTCTGCTCCATGCGCGACGTGGCCACCGTCGACGGCGCCTCCTCGGCCGCCTCCGTCGTCGTGGACCACCGCGACACCGCCCCGCTCAACCGCTCCTCCCGCCGCGCCCACCACTCCTCGTCGTCGGCAGCGGGCGGCGGCGGGCACCCGTCCTCCCTCCGCGGCCTCTCCGGCTGCTACGAGTGCCGCGCCATCAACGTCGAGCCCGTCTCAAGGTCTGCCGCCTGCCTAGCTAGCTAACCCCTCTCATTAGCCATCAACCAGCAAGCTCCATGGATGTTAACCATGGTTAGTCTTCGCCATCAGTGCTAATCATCGTGTTAATTGCCAACAAATTCAGGAGGTACCCTCGGCCGAGGGAGCTGTGTCCGTGCTCGCAGTGCGGCGAGGTGTTCACCAAGGCCGACAGCTTGGAGCAGCACCAAGCCGTCCGCCATGCCGGTAAATTCCTCGAAACCCCGAACCCCGTCTGTATCAATCGATGCACACAACCATAGCCACCGTGAGAATTGATATTTTCACCGCATTTCTCTGTGGGGTCAAAAGCGGTGAAATAGTCGGATTTTTTTGATATTTTTTGCAAAATCTAGAAGATCAACATTATGCATGTGGTGAAGATTTTTCTGGTGCAAATCATATCATATGTGTGATAGTGGAGTACAACTACTAACCAGAACCATTAGTGAGGAGGAGGAGGGGGAGGCCTTGGAAAGCTACTCATACTAGCTAGATGGAGATCTGTGGTGTGCTGTGGCATACACTAGTTAATTAATTAACTAATAGTTGGTCAAAATGATGGGTTAATCATGATTAAATGATGGAGAGGGATGCATGGCAGTGGCACCCATTGGAGCCATACATATATACAAAGTTATAAAAATATTATGCATAGTAGTGATCTAGTGCTTTAGTGGTTGGATTAGTTTAGTAATTTCTTGACACACCCTTTGTGGTTTGCCATGTGTACATGTGTGTGAGAGATAGATAGGGAGAGGAGACAAGAAGAAGGGGGTTAGGAAGATGCTGCCTGCTCATCAAAGCTAACCATCTCCCCCTTTTCACCCTCTTTCCCTTTGTCTTTTGTGGGTTGCAAGGAAGCTACTGTCTTAGCTAGCTTGTGCACAAATCCACTGCCACTCTCTGATTAAACATACTCAGATGATAACAATAACTAATTGTGGGTATCCTTCTGTATCTGTATCATATCAGTTGCTTGCACTTGGTAAAGAGCATGGCATGGCATGGCATGGCATGCTAGCTAGATCAATTGCTTACTTACTAATTTATCAGATGATATGGTGGTATCTTTAGGTAGACAGTGAGAGTGTGTTGGCATGCACGCAGTGAGTAGGATACTCCACATGACTGACCAGTATCAAAACTAGTTACACCACCGACTAGTCGATTGATTATGGAGCTAATCCCACTGTTACAGGCTCCTGCAAGATGAGGTCCCAATCCCATCCCATATGCTGGCTGTGTACCACTGCATGCATCGTGCATTCATGCTATAGGGCCTTCAATTTATAGCGGTTGGTAGCACGTTAATTGGGTCTGCAATCTGCATGCATACATGCATGTACACTTATTTGAGAGACAGAACACAAAATGAAGGACAAGAAAAGATGAAGTTTTGCATGTACATGTTGAAAGTGAGACATGAAAACACACTCATGCAATACATGGGACCATCATCTTGCATTGCATACTTGTCTCATGAACATGGTTAATGCCTGCTGCTGACACTACTGTTGCGGCATGCATGCAGCTGAACGTTACATGTACCAGCAGTGTACCTTCTCCCTTAAGGTCTTAATGTCCATGTACTACTGGTAGGTGTACTGGTGTACGTACATACTTTTCACCTGTTTAGGTTGGGGTACTGATTGAAAAGCGCCGTGCATCACAGGCAGGGACAACCCCCCACACTGCCGCCTTAATCAACACAGATACAGATGGATACGGTGGCTTGGCTTGATTAATTTAGTTGCCGATGATGCATGGTGCTTTCCGAGATCTCAGTCGGGCTTTCATGGCGCTGTCGGTGTGACCTGCCCGCCCTCTGAGATCATGCACTGCATGTGATCACAATTTGTTAATTAGTTTACTGCTAATCGCATCACTGGCTGGGCAGTTAGTTAGGTTGTACTTTCTTCTACGAGTAAATAATTATTGAGGTTTTGCATCCGTGGCGTTCAATGGTGGGCAGTGTCGGAGCTGGGGCCGGAGGACTCCGGGCGGAACATCGTGGAGATCATCTTCAAGTCGAGCTGGCAGAAGCGGGACCGCCCCATCTGCCACATCGACCGCATCCTCAAGGTCCGCAACCCGCCCCGCACCGTCGCCCGCTTCGAGGCCTACCGCGACGCCGTGCGCGCCCGCTGCCGCGCCGACGTCTCCGCGGGAGGCGGCGGCGCCACGCGCGCCGCGGCCGACGGCAACGAGCTGCTGCGGTTCCACCCGGCCGCGCTCGCCTGCGAGCTCGGCGCCGACGGCTCCACCTCGCTGTGCGCGTCCTGCGACGATGGTGACGCCGACGGTAAGACGGCGGCCGCGGCGTGCGGGGTGTGCGCGGCGATCCGGCACGGGTTCGCGCCCTGGGCCGGCGCGCACCCGCTGGGCGTGCGCACCACAGCGAGCAGCGGCCGCGCGCACGACGTCTGCGGTGCCGAAGCGGTGGGAGCGCCGGGGTGGCGGGCGATGCTGGTGTGCCGGGTGATCGCCGGGCAGGTGCGACGGCGGGACGGGGACGAGGATGGGGAGGAGAAGGAGGTTGAGGCTGGGCCGTTCGACTCGGTGGCCGGCGACGACGCGGGCGGCGCGTACGGGGTGCTGGAGGAGCTGTTCGTGGCCAACCCCAGGGCCATCCTGCCGTGCTTCGTCGTGGTGTACCGCGTCGACGTGGACGCACAATGACATGCATATGCACTGTAACAATTATATTTGCCCTGTACACCTACATATGGATATGTATGTGAATTTGTACTACTAATTGTATGTTCGCATCGATCAATTGTGTCGGCTTGCTTGAAGATATATATATATATAGTGCTATTTTAGTGCGTGTGCATGTATCCAAAAATATACTACTTATATTCAACAACAAGTTCTTGGTTACATGTGTATAGCTGGTCGAGAGTATGTACTGGTACGTATACATTGATTTGATGGGATTGATGCATGCATGTATACTGCCTTAATTATTTGCATGATGCATTGGTTCTTCCATCTCGCTCCATGTATGCTGATGAATTATTTCTAGTACGTGGGACGCTGGCATGCATCATGCATGATTAGTTGGCCGACCTGAGTTTGATGTTTGTTTGGAAGTAGATAGGGCCTGATCTGAGTGATTGCTCAACATATTAGCTGAACCTTCTATGGATGATATGCATGGTCAACTAGATGTACATGCATGCCACTAGATCCATGCATGCATGCCCAGGTAGTCAAAAAAAAAAATGAGACCAACCTAAGGACTAACCCTCGTTGGCTTTTTTTATAGAAGAAACTCCGTGAGCATCACGCGTCCATGCCGGGACTCGAACTCGGGTGGGCTGGCAGCAACCTCAGCTGCCCAGCCAACGGGTCGACGCCCTGTCATCCATGCCCAGTTAATCACAGTCTCAGAGATTGAATCCCACCTTTGTAGTAAGTTGTTGGGTTTTGGTTGCTGGCACCCTTTTTCATCAATTTCCTGTCAGCCACCAAGCCCATTCACATGGTCAACTCCATATGCATGGCATGCATGAGATTAGCCACAGTGGGGATTAACTTAGAATAATAACATGTATATGTTATTAGTCTATGTTACTACCTTCATAATGAGGAGTAACATATGTGTGGTGTCATGCAACACTTTATTTATTAAATTGTAGACTCATTTTGTCTTGCTATGTGTGATGTTACTCATACTACTAGTAGCTAGCTATATTACCACACCACTCTCTATCTTCATTAATTACTTGTCATATCATCTATTTTGTCTAAATATGTGTGATGTTATCATCTATGTTACTCCTATTATGGATAGTCCGAGGGATTCCGGTCATCTTTTCCTACATTTAGACAACACATAAGAGGAAATATTTCTCGCACTTTGTTACAAATGTCCGAGGCATGTTTTATAAATATGTTTGTCTTGCAAAATACGTGTGTTGGCAACATTTTTACTTGAGAAAGTGGCGGTACATCCAGGCAGATAATTCTGTTGGTATACACAGGCCATCATGAGAGATATGGAAGTAGATGGTTATGTGACGTGCCATTTACAAATTTCAGTCAATATAGCATAAGTGCATGCAATAGGTGGATTGGTTTGTCCGGTTGCGTCGACCATGTTGCCTGGGGGCCTGAGATTCGTCCTGAGTGATGGATGAGCTAGAGCTGAGACCAATGCGATGGTGGTGGAGCCCCAGAAGAAGAAGCAGGAGATGGTGGATGGACGCACGATCATGTGCATTGTGCAACTGTTGCTACTTAATTACTGTTGCCTACATAAATAATTGCCTGCCACAACCATGCATGCATGTGTCCATGTCAAGCCCTTGTTTCTTTGCTCACAAGAGAGAAGAAAACCATGTCGGTGTCTACAGAGTACGTAAGATGATTGCAAATTTACAATGGTGTCTGGTAGTCTCATCTAATTAATGTGGCACAGTGACCAACTTGGATTGGTCACTTGGGTCAGACACGCACGACAAGTCAACCGGCCAGATCCACAGCATATATAGGAACACGTGCCCCTAGCTAGTAGCTGCCTAGGCTAGCTTCCAATTCCTCCGGGTAGAGTAGTAGTGTTATTTTTACCCCGTTGACCCAGTTGTGCATGCATGATCCAAGAAGAAGGGATTCGCTTGTCCCCGTCGCCACAAACGCATCATAGATTAGCCTCTACTATCTCCATCCGTCCTGGTTGATAATTTGACCAAAAATTTAACTAACAAAATATTAATGCATATCAACAAAAAATAATGTGGCTGGATTCATATTTGAACCTAGTTTTCAATGATACTCCCTCCGTTTCTAGATATAAGTCTTTGTAGAGATTTCACTATGAACCATGTACGGATGTATGTAGATGCATTTTAGAGTGTGATTCACTAATTTTGCTCCGTGTGTATCCATACTGCAATCTCTACAAAGATTTATATTTAGGAACATAGGGAGTATAATTTTGGATGGCATGCATGAACATTTTGTTAGTTAAATTATGGTTAAAATTGACACAAAATACAATAAAAACCAATAAACCAGGATGAAGGTAGGAGCAGCAAGAACAGCACGTCCTAATTCTTGTAAAAAGAAAGAAGGAAAGGGCTTTGTTCTTTACTAGTTACAACTGTCAAAACAAAATTTTATTCATGCGTCAAATGCACTTTTGGAGCTAGGAACCAAGTTTTTTTCTTTTTTGAAAAGCTAATGGCCCCTGCTACACACTGGGGCAACACGAGAGGTGATCTACAGCTGCCGCCGTCCGCGCTCCCTCCTTGGACTTCACCCTCGCCTCTAGTTGGTAGCGGCGGGAGGCCATATGTTTCTTAGCTGGTCGTGGCGGGCAAGCAACATTGCAGGCTAAGGGCCGACGATCGATTCGGGTCGTCCAATGCTAGACCAGCAGGAGTGCAGCGGCCGTGTGTTGGCTACGACACATCATGCGCCCGGTATGTTTGCTATCTCGGGCCAGTTGATCATATAACACGGAGGCGACCAGATGACCCAGGCAATGATTGACTTGGGCTTTGGTGTCATGTTTGGGCCACACCATTCGATTGCCAGGAGTTTCCCAAATCACTAGTTAAGGAGTACTCGTTGTAAAGATCACTCCCACTTTCGTAGGTTGCGACAAGTGGTGCGCTACATGTGCGTCACTTGTCGTAACCTGGAAGTTTTCTCTTTTCTCGTAGATTTGTTTATTCAAAACGTTTTATCTCTTAAATCGTGCGTCCAAGTCTTGAACCGTTTTCACCGTTGTATTTCTCGTGTCGAGATCTTCAAAACTAGATCCCATGTTGATAGGTTTTGATGAACTTTTTTTTCACGAAAAAACTGGACAAAAGAATGAACTGGAAGCATGGGGTTTTTCCCTTTTCGAAAGAGGCATTGCCCGTGCCTCCCGCGGAATCACAACCGTGCATCTCGCAAAAGGAAAAAAGAAAGAGAAAACGCGTTTTTTTTCGTTTTCGAGGAGGCATGGCCGTGCCTCTGGCAAAAGCACAACCATGCCTCTCGCGGAAGCAAAATCGTGACTCTCGCGAAAGAAAAGGAAAAACAGAAAACGCGTTTGTTTTCCGTTTTCTAGAGGCACGACCGTGCCTCTCGTGAAAGCATAACCGTGCCTCTCGCAGAAGCAAAACCTTGCCTCTCTTGGAATAAAAAAAACAGAAAGCACAATTTTTTGCGTTTCGGAGAGGCACGACTGTGCCTTTCGCAAAAGCACAACCGTGCCTCTCTCGAAAGCAAAATCGTGCCTTTCACGGAAGAAAAAAAACAGAAAACCGTGGCTCTCGCGGAAGCAAAACCGTGACTCTTGCGAAACAAAAAGAAAAAGAAGGCGCGTTTTTTCGTGCAATTGTTTTTCCAAAAGTTAAGAAAGACCGGTGGAAAACTGAAACGTCGAATAAAGCCAGAAAAAACCGTTTAAAAAGCCGAGAACGCGTGCGAAAAAATTAAAAAATTCGGAGGGAGGTCCCAGAGTGCGACACGTGGCGGGCGGCCGAGAGTCTCTCGAAGGAGCGCTCGTTAACTAGTTGCTCTCAGGAGTTCTAGGTGAGGCGTGCGACTATCTCTCTCTAGTACAAACCACAATGGTGTTGTACGTGTAGTTTTTTTTTTCCAGGGTGGAAGACCCATTGTTGTTAACATAGTGACTGGAACACCGCTTCATCTTGGGGGTGAAAACTCTTTGCTAGCATGCATTTCTTGGTCGGACTCAGGAGCGACAAATTTGCATCATTATCTTATTCGTTACGGATGATGTCTTGGACAAACTTGTTGGATTCGGTTTGCAGTTGCTGATCATTAGCGGGTGAAAATTAGGCATGAAAGCAAACGAAAATTGGAACAAACGAGCATGTAGGAAAGACAAACCAGAAAAAAAAAAACTCTCCTCCAGCATAGAAAATGACAGTTTCCCCTCTGTCGACGTGGGCGGCATGGCCTACGGAGGGGGACTGGGTGCTGGGCCCGACGCACTGATGGTACGCATCAGCACAAATCACTAGCTAGCGACTCTGTCTGAACGCATACGTATGCTCATCCCCACGTAATTAAGTTGCTGCACCCATGGACTGGCTCTCGTCCGGCGGCGGCTCGGCTGCTGCTGCTGCTGGTGTTGTCTAGCCAGCCATTACACTCCGGCCGGCCGGCCGGCTCTTCTCCCGCCGTACATCCGCACAGCCAGCCATCATCACAACTCTGAAACGCATTCATGCGCGCAGATACCCAGGTTATTAATAAGCTCATGCATGGTACTCCCTCCGTTTTTTAAATATAAGTTTTTCTAGAGATTTCAATATGAACTACATACAGAGCAAAATGAGTGAATCTACATTCTAAACTATGTCTATATACATCCGTATGTAGTTCATATTGGAATCTCTAGAAATAAGACTTATACTAGGAACGGAGGGAGTACTTGCGGTTTATCATTTCAAACCTAGCCGTGATGCGTGAGCTATCAATGCGACAAGGCGGTACGTCGACGGTGAGGAAAAAGGCTTCATCATAGAAGCGGTCAGCAGTGCACGTGCGTGGGGGGTTACAATTACTTCTTCTTCTTCTTCTTATGGTTTCGGCAATATCTTTCATTTTTTTTACTAAGCTTCTCATTGTTCATATCAGAATTGAGAGGACAACAATATACACACATCCTAGGAAGAAGAAGAAGAAGAAGAAGAAATCAGTGGCCCAACGGT